GACTTTTATAATTGCTTACAACAGTTCAGTAGTGGAATTTTCTATTGTGAAACAGTAGACCTACTTTAAAACAAAATCACTACCGATCATGTCATTCTATTCTGTGTCAAGTCAGTATACCATTGCCAGTCAGTCGCCGACTGCCTTGAGTTGACCTATTCTGTCGTGACAGCACTGACAGCTATAAAAATAGGTTAGGACAACTACCTCTTGCTTATTTCTATATTTGTATTACTGTAGAATCTACAGTAATACAAATTATTCATCATTTTATGAAAACACAAGTTACATTTCAACAAATATTGATTTTTACAATTTTAAACCAAACTGGCGAGTTCAAAGATAAGCTCGAATTTCAAGGCCGTACTGTACTGGAACTCGAAATCTCAAATACTCGCCCGTTTTGTGTTAATAGTATAAAAAAATCGGATCCATTAATACCGGATCCAGCCCAAGATCCGATTTTTTGTGGATCCGATCGGGTGTCGGTTCTAGCTCAGATCCGGTGGATCCGGTAGTCCGATATCCGGATCCGACCATCACTAGTTTCCACCTTTGTCATACTCTTCCGGAAATATCAGTTCTGCAGCAACTCTTTGTTTTTTATGGTCTTTTGTAGCAACTTCGAAACCTACCTGGCACAAAATTTGTGGTATCCAAATTTGTCAACCACTATTTCATGTAGGTACTAAATTCTGTAAAATTTTTGGAAAATGTTCTGAGAGCTCCATAGTTGTAAAACAACAATTTGACAGGTGAATGACTTATAATTATTAACTTTAGTTGGGGATTAGGGGTAGAAAAAACGTTTTTTTTATGTTTATGACAAAAGGTATGTATTTTTTACGTAGAATCCGATTCTGTGATCAAAATTGGTAGTTTACATTTAAAAAAGTCAACTTCTAGTCTGAAAAAGCCACTTCCGGTGTGATTTTGGATTTGAAATTATCACCATTTGGTAGACTGTGCCCAATTTATCTAGTTCTGTATTATTTGTTGTTTGTAATAAAAGGTTTTCCTTGTTTTAAAAGGGGTGTACGGGTGGTTTTGGACACCCTGTATATGAATTTGAACGGATAGTGTTTTTGGCTTCTCGGGACCTCAAAACGAAAAAGTAAATCAGTCCCAGGTCCAGGTCCTACCATGAGTACTATGGTATAGGTCGGCCGCTTAGAAAGCGACCTCCTCCAGCATTGGTTTAGCATTAGCGCGCAGGTCGTTTTCTAAGCGGCCGAACTATAATAGCTTATTTCCTATGTTATAAACCAGAAGAGATGTGTTTCGTTTTAAAAATAATCAATGGTAGTAACTTATTCGTTATTAGTTTATTATCAAGAAGGCCATGAGGAAGACGCAGAGAATAGGCGAAGAGGAATGCCTTGCTGTCTTGGAAATTCTACAAGTGAGTTAGCATCACCATTTTGTTACCACTTTTTCTAAGTCTAATTACAACATTAGATGCTAGTTTATTTGCATTTAGTTTACCCTATATGGGAAATTCGCTAAACAAATATTTACTGTGTGACTGTGAGCGTGTGGGGCTGACAAATAATTAGGGGTTGGACAAGGACTGGCATCAGTACCTGGGAACAGGAATTCCTGCCCCAGAAGTAATGTCACCAATTCCAGACTGAGATATCTAGATTCATCATTTTGGATATCCTGACATCATTTTTGACTAAAGTAATCGCATTATAAACTTTTGCATTTTAGGGTCGCAATACTCATAATTATTTGCACTCAACGTCATAAGGGCTACCTTTTTAATGAGCTTCTAGTACCCAAAAAGACTCGTGTAAGCAGTTTTAGCCACCAGCTCTTTTTTTAGATTTTACTAAGTTTCGCCACTTTTTGTCATTTGAATAGTAATTTTAAAATTCTACCTAATTGAACTCCTAGAGGTTAATCAAATTTAACTATGTAAATTTTGATGATCAAAACATTGTCTAAAGTAATTTTTTAGAAATATTCAACAGTGTGTGTACTAGTGATGGTCAAAACCAGAAATTTCGAATCTCAAAACCGAAACCGAAACTTTGAAACATCGAATCCCGAATCTCGAATCTCAAAACCTAAACGCGAAACTTTTTTACTTAGCTGGTTACAAAGGTCAAGGTTACAAAAAATACACATAATCATAAAATGTTAAGTATGCAATCTAAACTGAAAGAGATCAACTCCTCCTGACCGCGACATGACATAAATACAGTATGTGAATGTGACTGATAATCTTAAAACCCAATACAACATAATTTTTTATAAACAACCAACAAAAAAAATTAATTAAACTTCTAACACCAACATATACATGAATCTATAATATTAAAACGAAACAGTGTTTTTTTATTTCACGATTCTGAATCAACCACTCGACGGATTTTCATGATTTTTGTGTTGAAAGAAAGATAATTTTGAGAACTAGGGAATGTCGAAGCCATAATTTTAGTTTAGGGCCCCAGTTTTTTAGAAATTAAGTTTTAATTTTTAAAAAGTCTAGCAGCCGACGCTAAGATTCTAAACTAGCTTTTGGCATAAAATAATTTGCTTAACATAACAGCTGTAAACATTCAGATTTTGTGTCACTAATTCAGTATTTGGATAAAAATGTAAAGACATACTTAGGGTTGACTTATTTATACTATGTGTAATGCTAACCATTGATAAGTTCAATTCTTCTGTAAGAGGATGGCAGATAAATTAAATATACATAGAAGAATACTAGGATGTCCAAATTATTTTTAAAGCAATCTTTGTAATCATCGATTTGTTTTCGATCAATATTTTGTTTTAACTAACAGCTGGTTAAATATAAACTATGGAACTTTGAGGTTATTTTATTTACTCTTATTTTGTCATTGATTATAGGAAATAGGTAAGATATCCTCTAAGGAGGACAAGGAAGAAGTGGAGGACCTTTAGAGAGTTTGAAGATGGGGCTGGAGTACCAGTTATTTATTAATTTAAATAACAAATGTTTTATTATTTTTCCATGTCAAAATTGATTATATTAAAATGTTTTGCTTTGTCAAAGTAAGATTAGTAGAGATAATTAGACCACAGTTTTAACCAAAATTAATTAAACCACAGTACAAATCGAGGCTCTGTACACGAGTCTTATTAAAAAAGGATAAACGCAAATTATTTTACTGCTACACTTTTCAAGGAAAGATTAGAAAAATAACAGTGTTAAAATGTTTTAATTCTTCATGGTAGCTTTTTGTTTACAATTAATGTTTGTCTGCTTTAACTTTGTTTGGATTAGGCCCGGAAATATTGATTTCATAAAAAGGAGATCAAGAATAATCAGGAATCACGATTTTAAATTACCACCACAACATCAGCCGGGTTTTATACAAAGATAAACAGATGGATGACATAGATTGAACACAACGTCAACATTGACCTAGGATACTGCAATTAGACAAACCATCCTTTTATGAAATCGTGTTCAGTTGTGGTTACGTTTGGGGGCGCCTATATCAGCGCCCCCAAACGTGAAAATATCACTTTTATTTCAACTATGAATATATTGTAGTTTAAATTAACTACTATGGGAAATTACGATGTACATTTATTCAATGAGGGTGGGTAATTATCGAGGATAGAACTGATAACGGTATGGATAATAAACATTGACAATTACGTCATTAGCTTTACTAGCGTGTTTACTTTTTATATTCCTGCTACATGTGACCAGTTCTTTTTTTCAAATAAATGTTATTTGAACCAAACAGCTGTTTCAAAACAAACTGTTATTGTTTTTACTTTTCTTTGTTTACACTTATTTATTTAGCAATTAATGCATAGTTGTGACGATTAGTTTTGATGTTAGGACACCAAAGTTTAAATTATGTGTACTGTGAATTTTATTGGATATTATCGTTTTATTTTAGGTCGTTTCTATTCATACCTACTGGAAATTGTGTATAGTAGTTGTATTGTGGTGATAATAATTATGGAAGAGGCAGGTATGCTATGGAAGGTGGTATCATTGACTAGGTCTACTTCTCAATTGACTATTACTCTCTCTACTGTAGGCTACTTATAATCAGTCTGCGTCTGTGCGAATCGGCTGCAAATCTCACTTCAACGCTTTTCACATCGTAAAAATTGCAGAATTGCTGTTTTATTGTAAAATTATCGGATTTACAATGCATATCGTTTCGGCCTATGATGGAATAAAAACATATTTGGTCACACAACATTTGTGTACAAGATGATTTTTCACATTAAAACTGCAAGAAACTTTGTCTTTATATGTGTAAACTAGCTGATCTGGATTGTACACGGTTTTAACTGACTACTAAATTCCCGTACGTAGGACGGGCTAACACCTCGTATTAGATTAATTAGAAAATTTAGTGGTCAATATTTCTTTGTGTATAGTAAATATTGATGTGAAACTGAATTGTACCAGTTATAGTATTTAAGATACCTTTTGAAGTTCAGAATAAAATTTACTTGTTTCATTACTGTTAATGGCGATGTTTGCTCTGTTGCTACTAGCTTGTTGGAAACAGTGTTAAAAACAATAACAATGGCACAAAAAATGTCAGCAGTTTCAAAAATAAAACTGCCAAAATCTTCTTTTTCTAAACTTTTGAATCTCGAAACTTGGTGATCAAATCTCGAAACCAAAACTTTTCCTAAGTTTTAATGGTTTTGAGATTTGAGATTCGGTTTTGACACATCACTAGTGTGTACATCTGGTGACTTGTGAGCTGGCTTTTGAGCCTATCGCGGGCAGTGTAGGTGGGGCGAGGGTGGAGGTAATTAAAAACAGGACTGCAAACATTGTCACTGACTCAAGGGGTAGGTTTTCAAGGTTCATGTACTTGAGGGACTTCACGTGGGGCTGCATGATGGCATACAACGCTTTTGGACTAGGATAGTAGCGATCAGTCAAGTGCCAGCTTACATGTCACGAGTTGTAATAGTTTGTTTAGTTAATATATTTATGGACAATGTATAGACAAATATAAAATATAAATTTAAATTACCTCAAGGATATCGCCAGTTTGAAGTTCATGGTGTAGTTTTATGAGATCCAATGATGCTCCAAAATTATTTAATGAAGCCGCCCTTTCATATGCTTTTAACTCAAGTTCATGATCCTAAAATAACAACAATATGCAAATAATAAATAAAATAATAATAAATGTATAGATTATTTGGTTACCGTCAAAACGATCCCGTGTACTTTGTAGGGGGCACAGCTGTTTCATGCTGCACATTGAGCACATCATTAGGTCAGGATGTCAGCTGATATTTAGATACGATATTACGTATTTATAAATAACTAGCGGTTGTACCCGTGCTTTGCAACGGGAAGAGGACACAAAATAGAAACATTTTAATCTTTACATCTGTTGCATATAATAGTTACACATCCTCCAATGCTTTTAGAAACAAAAATCAACTTTTATAGCCTTAATAGAAACGTTTAAGTTATGACTTTTAAATCTGGTAAGTAGTGGATACCACCATTTTGGTTTATGATTATTTTAAATCTTGTGTAGGCTGATATGAGCCAATCCATCATCAAATAAATTAACATAAGTTAAAAATTGAGGTACAAGAAACTTAATAATTTACAAAATTTCATATTATTAGATAAATATTCTTCTGTTCCTTTTCCTGTAAACATCATGTTTAATCAAGTTTCTGTTTTACAACATAAAAATAAATTTTATTCCAACTCTAGCCTTAAGGATAACAATTTTAAAGGAATGTTGCTTTTCTGTCTTGGTCGATCTCGATAAAATTAGGAGAGAGGTACATTACACTAACTTGTTGAAATACAATTAAGTTTCAATATCAATTGAATAATATTAAATAAATAGATATAACACTTACACAATCGTATCTCTGGTGATACATGGCTTGTACATGATGCACCATTGGATTGTTTGGAGCCAATTCCAAAGCTTTGTCAATACATTCTTTGGTAAATTTGAGCTTTTTATTACGGTAAGGAAGTTTCATCAGTCCTTTGGCACAACGAATTAAAATATGAGGATCCTTTGGTCTCATTTCCACCGCTTCTCTGTTGAAAAAATTATAACGTTAGTGGTTTGGAAATGAAAGTCAATAGGGTTTTGATTTTGGAGCATAATACGGCATAGAACCTCTAATTGTTAAGAATAAGTATCTATAGATTAATTTGAAACTGTTTTTCTTTGTGACAGCTATTTTGAGAGAACGGCTGGGCGTAGAAACTCGGTAGAGGTGTCTAAAGAAAGGTCCTGGTCTGTAGATGAGCCATCAAAAGAGAACCATGGATAATTCCCTCGGGGCTCTGCCCCAGTGGCCTTTAAATTCCCATCCCATGTTATTCTTATGGAGGAAAACGAGGTTTTTGTCACAGCTAATTTGGGAGAACGGCTGGGCGTAGAAACTTGGTAGGGGTGTCTAAAGAAAGGTATTGGTCTGTAAGTGAGCCCTCAAAAGAGAAACGAGGAGAATTTCCTTGGGGCTCTGTCCCAGAGGCCTTTAAAGTTCACTCTGCAATTTTGTTTACATTACGACCATATGGATAATTTTACACTACTTTTAATAAACCAGCTGTTAATATTAACATTGTATTCAAAGGTCTACTGAAACTGTCAAAATTAAATGTTTACATTATATTTTTTTATTTTAAATGGATTCTCCACTGCATGGCAAGTTTTTTATAGTTTCAACAAAATGATGAATTTATGATACATTTTAAATGTTTTGTCTATGCTTTATTGCTCTTAGAAAATTTTAAATTATGAAATAAGTGTGATATATCAATTTCAAAGGAACATATAATTATTGGGTTAGCTTATATATATATTGTAAGGTTGGCAATTGCCTTTTTTTTCCTACTTTCAATCACCATTTATTTTTAAATTCAAGAAAGAACACCAGAGATTAATTTATTGGCATACAAGTTTTTGATAACGGGTTGAAAATTGTGTCATAGATGAGTACGTTGAGGATGAGAGCTGTGTTCAAGTTTTGGAATAGACTAACTACGGAGTATGTTTCATCTATGGTTTTGGTGAAGTAGGTGAACTAATGTCAATTCAGGTATTTAAAAAAAATGTGTACACGGTTTTTACTTTGATGTACACATGTAGCTAGGTCGAACAACGCATCTAAGCCTCATTACATACAAAACATTCGGAAACACAACAGTCTCATCACATCTCATCGCATTTGCATAATTTGTTACCAAAGCTGGACTAGGTTATGGATTTGGTTCCGCAAATGTTCAAGATTTGTGATCAAATTTCCTACAATTATGGTTCATTCCATCCACGAAATACATGCACAGCTTTATGTGATCGATATGGCAAAGGCAAAACTACCCCATAAGTTAATGAATTATCAAGTAAGAACAGGATGATTAAATACATGGGTCGATGTGGCAAGAGAAGGAATTAAAATTGCTGGGATCAAAGTAAGAATGTTACTGCTTTCTGGAGAATCAGATATTTTTATCAAATACAAAAAGAACTGATTTAATATGCTGATAGAATTTTGTATTTTTATGACCAAAGATGAAGATTTATTATAAATCCGGATACAATCTAAATTATTTTCCTAAAGCAGATGGAATTAGTTGTTAGTAATAAATATTGACTCTTTCCGTTACATGATAGACTAATTATATTAACTCATTCTCCCATATAGTGAAAGTGGCTTTGGCATGAAACAAACTCATGAACAAACAATTATAAGACTCCTAAAATACCTTTTGGGCAACCTAAAGCCGATAAAAAGGTAGGAAATATTGTGTTAAACGAATTCATCAATCACGTTTTTTTAGGGAACACAATCGTCATACTTATTATTGCTTATCCTCCCTTCATTTAACTAAGATTTAATGACTTTCACTCTATCCATCGCAGTTAGCTGAATTTACATAAAACCTCAAGATTAACCGTCGATTTCGACGGGGTTCCACTAGTTATTATTATTTAAAATCCATGTTTTAGCCCCTGAGCTGTATAATAACTAAAATAGGCTTTACCTTCGTCACTGCAGCTCAAATTCTTGTGGTGTAACTACGTTACGGCCGTTTCGGCATTACAATATAGTTTGTATACGTTTTTGTAGTCTGACGATGGCATTGTAATGCCGAAACGGCCGTAACGTAATTACACCACAAGAATTTGAGCTGCAGTGACGAAGGTAAAGCCTATTTTAGTTTAATAAGTATTAGTTTAGCCATATTAGCTGTAGTTCATAATGAAAGGGTTAAGGCATAGTTGTTGAGTCGTCCACTTCAAGCAATACTGGTCACATACAATGGCAGCGATAGCCTCAACCAGGATTTTTCGGGAAATTTTATTGGAACCCATGACAGGCCCTATCATAACAACATTTTATATGAGCATTACCATTCATTGTTATTTGACAAAAATGTGTTAAGTAATACCATTAAGAGCGCTAGCAAAAGTAAGTTTTGCTAAACTGACACTACAGTACTTATTGACCAGTCGATAAAAATTCTCTCCTAAGTCAAATACCCCTGCCGCAGCAAACCTGCCAACTAAGCGAATTTCCGTTTGCCTAACTGATTTTCAATTAAATCTATTTAAATAAAAAAAGGGTTTAACAAGTACCTAGGTTTGCTGCTCCAAGGAAACTAATAAAGTGTGGTTTTTAGTAAAATATTAATAGCTTATTTTTAAATAAATAAATTTGCCTAGTTTGATCAAAATATGTCCATAAACAAGCAAACTACAACATTTTACAATATTCTCCATAAGAATAACATAAAAATTTTAAATTAACAATTTTTTGAATTTTCTCCGTTACCAATAATTGTACAAAAACACTTTGATATACTAAATTATTTGTTTTTATAAGCTCTTTAAAAAGGACTTGAGAGAAATTGTAAAATTTTATGTTTTGAGGGCCAAAAATGAGAAAAACCAATTTTTACCCTATAAAACCCAGTTCCCATGGTCCAATCATGCTGGTTCACAAACTCATTCAAGTTTATCCCGCCTTACACCTTGAAACCAAATTTCATCAAAATCGGACAAAAATTACTCAAGTTATCGCTTTCACTGACACATATAAATATATAAAATACACAATATATATAACAATTTGAACGAATGGTGTTTTTGGCCTCTGGGGACGTCAAAATTAAAAAGTAAATCGGTCCCGGGCCTAGACCTTACCATGCCACCTACGGATTGAGCTACTACCCTATAGGAAATTTGCTAAAATGTCTGCAGTCATGCGGGTTGTATAAACTCTCCTTGAGGTCTGCTTGAAGGCGCTATAATCGGGCTGTATTTTAGAATCGATGTGGCCCCCGGCGGGTCACAACAGAGAGAGAACAGAGGGCCAGGCTTACAAGTTACCATGCGATTGCATCACAGCTGGAAAAGCTTATTGTGCACCCTCATTCACAGGTCCTCATTCTCAGTCACATCCCAGGTCCTTTGTGAACCATGAAATCCTTTTGACTATGGTTTCCTGTTGTTCCCTTTAATCTCCCGTAAATAGGCCAAGGGGATCTCATATGCAGACCTCGTTGGTCTGGGCACATACATATAACGTGGAAGGCTATGTCTCCTTTTCCTCACCACATTTCCTACATAAGAGGCTTTCAACTTGAATTCCCATCTTGTGTTCAATCTTGAACGCAATTGTGTCCGCGGAAAACCCAGAGGCCGCTGATGAAGCCAACCCCCTTCTTATTCAGCCCTATCGCGCCGGTAGGTGTCTGCAGCATTCTCTTTACTGTATGTTGCCATTATCATGACCAGCAATTGTCCGTCAGGGTTTGAGTTTCCCCCGACAACCGCCCAGTGGTCTGTGTCAAGGTCATTCTGCAGCTTGAGGCCCTGCATCACGTCCTTCCTGGTCATTGCCCCCATTAAGGTTGGAACAAACGCTGATACGTTCACAGCTCTCACATGGTCTCTGGCTGGGGTAAGCTGTAGCGAGATTTTCCCGAAGGGGACTTGCTTGACCAGCCAATCCTTTGTGGCTGCGTTAGCACAGCCAGCCACCAAGGCTCGGCCTTCAAGATGGCAGCTGCTTATCCTGACGTCTTTGCCACGAATTACCTGAACAGCTCCCCCTTGATTTTGTTGGCTTCAGCTTCCGTCCGTTTCCTGTACGAGTGTTCAGATCTGGCGATGGCCATCTTCTCCACAGTCAGTGTCTCCAAATAGGTGAGTGCCAGTGCTCTCTGTGAACCTCTATGCTGCTGTGAGAATATCGATTTTCTAGCCGAGCCTGGCCTACTAGCTTGAGAGATCTAGTACAAAATTGAGCTCAAGCCGAGCTGTTGCGACCACGATAACATCCCGACCGTAGAACACGTCTGCAAGGATCACACCCATGTGATTGAAAGATTCACGCTTTTGCTCCAATCGGGGATGTCGACGAGAACATTCCCCTGTAGATGACGATCATGATATCTCCGTTGTTTCGGGAGACGTTCAGGATTTTGCCGCAATCATGGATGACAATGATGACGCCTCGGTGCCTCGGGAAATGATGTACCAACCCCAAGTGCAAGCTTTGGTGGAAATACCTGTGATAATGTTTTGAAAGATTATTTGGAGAGGGAATGAACAAACTTGCGAAGAGGGCCCTCGGGTTCTTATCACTGCCACTAGAAACTAAATTTAAAGTTAACTTACCATGGCATAAACTGGATTATTTTTAAAAAGAAAACTAATTATTCAGGGTTTACTTTAATCACAACACCTGCCGGCTCCTGCGAGGAGGGAAACCAATTTAAATAAATTTAAAAGAACGCTAAAAGATTTTTTTTTAAATTTACATCATTTTATGCTGCAGAAGACTTTAAAGAATTAAGAATTAAACAAAAGTTACATAACAGTAACATAAGTCTAATTTGAATTTCATAACAAAATTAGGGGAACAATTTCAATTTTAACTATGTTTGTTTATGATTAGTAATACTTTTATTATATTTATTTTATACCGGAAACTAAATATATATTTTTTTTTATTTACTGCTCATGTTACGATGATTGATACATTTATATACCTATATAAATAAAATTAGAGTTTTGTGTATACATTGCTCAGAGTTATATATTTTTTGGTTATTTTTACGTTTTATACATTAAAGAAACCTAAACAAGTCTTATCTCAATTTCTGTCTATCTGTCACGGCCCAGAAAACATTTTACGCGGCAAACTCCTGAAAAACGAGAGCATCGATCGGGATTCAAATAGTCTTTTTGTATTCACTGGATTGGCTAGAGTGTCTTTAGCCATTAAAATATGACCTCACTACTTTTGAAATAAAATAATGGACGTTCAAAAACCCAATTGTGTAAGATTTTTTCAAGTTTTCTCTAAATGCTTACCATATTATGTCATTTATGAAATACTCATCTGTTTGGAAAATACGACATCCAAGAAGTAACGAACAGCTGTTCAGATACAGATTATTTTTTCTATCCGTCACTGGATATTATGTTTCCATTAAAATGTTGTTTACAAATACCGCAACCATTTGCAATCACGTTTTGTAAGAAAATCCAAAACCAAGTGAGATTAAAAATGTTGTGCCTTACATAACAGATTTTATTAATAACAAAAGTGCAATAATGTGCAACGGTATTGCATGCAACCAACTGCTGTTCTGATTATAAGGTTTCAACTGACTACATGATCCCGTCCGTAGAACACCCACACAGCTAGAGAGGTTATATAGGCCTATAAGTTGCATATAAGTTTGTTATATTTCTGTTTATGTTCAGTTAGAAATTCTTAATTTTTTTACTATTTTGTTGACACTAAATCTTATTATATATTTTAAACATTTTGTAATAGTCATGTGTATGTATTTATAGCCTATATGACTATTCAATGTGTGTTCTTTGTGTATAACAAAAAAGAAAAGAATTATTTTATTTTATTTAAAAAAAAAAAATTGATCCATACTTACTCAAAATTTTTCATAGCTGCATGGTTTGTTTTCTTAATTTTGTTATTTAGCTCAGGTTCTATTTTAGGATGATGTTTGTATTCCCTCAATGTTTTCTCGGCCAAGACTTGGCCCAGGAAAACTTTGTATGTTGCATTCCCCTTGTCAAGATCAAGAGCTTTATTAATCGCAGTGACTTCTGTTCTGTCTACAAGATCATGACATTGAGCTACTCTGCGCAATCTCCCTGGAACAATATTGGACAGTAATATAACAATAATACTAAGCAAATAACAAAAATTGTTAATGGGGGGTCAGAATAAATGATGATTTAATGTAAACTTACTTGCACACAAACACACACACACAAACACACACAAGTCTTTTAAGTACTGGTTAAAGGTAATGGAGGCGGCGTAAACAATGGCTGGTAGTTAGGCAAACGGCCGAAACATGGTTTAGAATTTAGCAGTTTCTGCTGGCGTTTTCGTCAGAATCTTTTTGATTTATTTTTATTATTTAGTTAAAGAGTTACTTAGTTAGAGTTAGAGCAAGTTATTTTTCCAAATCCAGTCCTTACAAATAGTGTCAGAAACAACTAGAGATGGACGGGTCCTGAAATTTTGGGAAATTTCGATGAAAAAAATTTTCTTGATTTTCGGGACGGGATTACATTATACTTGGGAATTACTGACTAAGACTTGCTGTTCATTAGCCAGGATCATTTATTTAAAATCCAATGATCAGGAACAGCTGGGTCCAGTTTCGAAATATCGAAAAGCTACTGACCTTTCTAAGGATCGAACCGGCAACCTTTTGATCTTTAGGCAAGCACTATAACCACTCGGCTACCCAGCCAGTTAAAATCTTTAAAAACATAAATACTTACCCATGCATTTACTGATGAAGAAGTGCCACTCAGCAATAGAATGGTCTATCACCTTTGCCTTACTAGCCTCAGCCAATGCATACTTGTTTCCTCTGTGACCGTATTCCATTAACACTCCAGCTGTAATGCCATGGATCCCAGATTTGTTTGAACGGTTCATCGCATCTTTCGGTAGGATCATATCTATGCACTGGAGCAGGAATCCAAATAATGAATAAACAGTTATCATCAATATGACACATACTTTCTCTCCTTTGCTTGTCAACAATCCTCATCGTGGACATGCAGTGGGAGAAAGTATGGTATTTTGTGGGTAAAATTACAAAAGTTGTAATAACTCTCAAACCGTAATTTTTACAGAAATGGGCCTACAGCTAAAAGGATCGTAATAAAATACTAAATTTGAACTAAATCTTTTGTCTAGTTTTAGCGAATTTCCCATATAGGGAATAAGCTATTACCATAGTACTCATGGTAAGACCTGGACCCGGGACCGATTTTTTTTTTTTCGTTTTGAGGTCCCTAGAGGCCAAAAACACCATCCGTTCAAATTCATATATATATCTATATAAATAAAATTAGAGTTTTGTCTGAACATTGCTCAGAATAATAAACTTTTAGGTTATTTTTACGTCTTATACATTAGAGAAACCGAAACAAGTCTCATCTAAATTTCTGTCTGTCTTCCTGTCTGTTACGGCCCAAGAGCCATTTTACGCGGCCTACTCCAGAAAAACGAGAGTACCTATCAAGTTCCAAATCATTTTAATGTATTCACTGGATTGGCGAGATTGTCTTTAGCCACTAAAATATGGCGTCACCACTTTGTAAATAAAATGACGGACGTTTAAAAACCCAATTTTGTGCGATTTTTTTGTAAAGTTTTCTCCTAATGTTTAGCACATAATCTTCTATGAAAAAACGAACAGCTGTTCAAATCAAGATTATTTCTTCTAGCTGTCACTGATATGTTTACATTGAATGTTGTTTACAAATACCGCAACCATTTCCGATCTCGTTTTGAAGGGAAATAGACCTTGAATCAGTGTTGTATATTGCTGGGAAACTTACATTTTTTAAATGAGCGTTTTCAGTCGAGACTTGGCACACGACCGACGCGCGTCTACTTGTCCATAGTAAAAATAAAAGTAGGCCTACCGTGTATTTATGTTTTATTCGTCATGTGTATAAGTGTATAGTTCGTGTATGTGTTTCAAAAACTCCAAGACGCACCTAATGGGGAAGCTCAAGACCTTATATTAGGACTGATGATGGCGACTTAATTTCGCCGAAATGCATCTCCTGTAATAGGATACATTAGGATCGACCAGCTGACACAGGTAATTTATCCTTTTATTGATTGTCATACCGATCCGGAACAACAAACAACATAAAATGAAGTTATGTATAGGCTAATAAATAGTTTGGCCAGCATATCTGAAAATATGCAAACCAACTGCTGTTATATAAGAAGGTTTCAACTGATAACTATAAGATCCCCGTGCGTAGAACGGGTACACAGCTAGTATATATATATATATATATATATATATATAGTAGAACCTCTTTAATCCGAACCCCCGTAATCCGAACGTCCACTAATCCGAACCCCTCATTGCTGTACTCTATACACAGTATAGCAGTTCTTTATTGTATACTGTATTTAATGTACAGTACTGTTTATTCACCATGTATTGGATAAACACTGTATTTTAATTTATAAAACATTTTTTTCACTTTTCCCAAAATAATTTAGATCAATTTTAGCCATGTTTTAGCTATTGTTATGTAAAAACAACAATATGTTCTGTAATCCGAACTATTCACTAGTCCGAACTACCCCTGGTCCCATTTAGTTCGGATTAAAGAGGTTCTACTGTATATATATATATACAGGGTTAGTAAAAAGTGTGGAGACCCCCTGTTATTTTTTTAACGGCCCATACTAGAAAAACTAAACTCGGCACACCATTATGGCATGCTATGAAGTACTTTTTGGGCATAACCGTCACTTGGTGTTTATCCCCAAAATGGGGGATTTTGGGGGAAACTCAAAAATTTCAAATACAAAGACCCATCGAGTGACCCCTCATTTTGAAGGTCCTGGTTATTTCCGATTTCTAAATATTTCAATCGGCTTCCATTGTTTACTGGATTGAGATAGAAACCTCTAGTTTGCGTTGTTAGTTTTCTTTTCTTAGGACCTTCAAAATGATGGGGCTTATCATTTAAAACCTTTGGGTTTCCCCCAAAATCCCCCATTTTGGGGAAGTACACCAAGTGGTGGTTATGCTCAAAAAGGACTTCATAACATGCCATAAAGGTGTGTAGAGTTTAGTTATCCTAGTGTGAGCCGCTACAAAATTTACAGGGGGCCTCCAGACTTGGAAAGCTGCAAGTTAAATTTAAATTCTGAAAATTTCAATTGGCTGCCATTTTTTACTGGATTGAGATAAAGACCTCTAGTTTGCGTTGTTGGTTTTCTTTTACCAGGACCTTCAAAATGAGGGGTCACTCAATGGGTCTTTGTATTTGAAATGTTTGAGTTTCCCCCAAAATCCCCCATTTTGGGGATGTACACCAAGTGACGGTTATGCCCAAAAAGTACTTCATAACATGTCATAAAGGTGTGCCGAGTTTATTTTTCTAGTATGGGCCGTTAAAAAAATAATAGGGGGTCTCCACACTTTTTACTAACCCTATATATACATATATATATATATATGTCCGTTAGCGCGATATAAGCTTGTGCTTGACTCAACTTTTTAGGCAAACATCGTAACCAGAGGAAGATGTTCTGGAAAAGGTGTTCTCAAAGAGGCTTTTCGTCCGTGGTATGTGGGTGCTAATCTATAATACCTCCAGAGATTTTTTCATTTTTTTTATTTTCCCATAGAAACCCATAAAATACCGGTACCTAATGGAATTAATATCAAAAAGATAAAAAAATACCCCCGCCGCAGCAAACCTGCAGACTAAGCGAAATTTCCATTTCCCTGAATGGATTTACACTAAAATGTCTCCTTAAAAATATCACATTTATTCCCTACTAGCTGTACCCGCGGGCTTCGCCCCGTTTAACTTCATAAGTATTCGCATGGCTCATTCACATCCTGGTTGAAGTTCGTTCGCTACGCTCACTCACCTTTAGGTTGGAGCTCGTTCGCTGCGCTCACTTGCCTTCAGGTTAGCTCGTTCGCTACGCTATCTCACCCCCAAGGTTGAAGTTCGTTCGCTACGCTCACTCACCTTTTGGTTGGAAATTAGCTGTTGTCATAAATAAAAAAAATAATAGTGCTGCACCCTGTTGGTAATCCTTATAACTTTGATGCTATTGAACATCATAGAACAGAACCAACTTGTTTAATTGAAACAGCTGTTAAGATTCATTAATTCCTTTAAATATGAAAAATCATAAGGTTAACATGGGGAACTACAGAGCCACTGAGGCGGAGCCCGAAAGAATTTTTATGCTTTAATGTTAATCGGGAATGTGAGCTATAATCATGCCAAATTTTAGCCCAATCCGTCCAGTAGTTTATGCGTGATTGAGCAACACACACACACACACACACAAACATACACACAAACACACACACAAACTCACAAACTTTCAGATTTATAATATTAGTAAGATTTAAATAGAATCAGTTTAAAACATACTTAGGTTTGCTGCAACAGGGAGGGTAAAAGTGTTTTTTATGTAAAATGTTAATAGTTGGTAAGAAATAAAAACATTTTCCAAATTTGGGCAAAATATGTTAATAAACAAGCAAACTACAACAGTGTACTTATTCTCCATAAGAATAACATGGGAATTTTAAATTTACAATTTTTTGGAATTTTCTCCATAACCATTAGGCGCATAACGCTTCAATATACTAAATTATTTGTTTTTTTAAGCTCTACAAAATAGTTTAGAAAGAAATTGCAACATTTTATGTTTTTTGGGTCAAAAATGGGAAAAACCTATTTTTACCCCATAAAAGCCGTTAGCGTCATATAATTTACACGAAAAAAATAAATAAACATTTAAACACGACACAAACACGAATACGAGACATTTATGCTAACTGGACTCAACTGGACATTTAGTATGGACTCAAACTCCGCCGGGTTAGCGTCGTCCGTTTTCTTAACTGATCAGTTACCATAAATGTCTCGTATTCGTGTTTGTGTCGTGTTTAAATGTTTATTTATTTTTTTCGTGTAAATTATATGACGCTCTTCGTATGAAGAAAGAAAACTGTCCTTGTACAGCCTGATGATGGTGTCACACAGACACCGAAACTAGTAGTGCTAACAACAACATTGGATTACTTAATAGCAGGTATTTAAACCTTTTAGAATATTTGGAATCCCATGATTTGATTTGCAAAGAAAAGTTTGGATTCTGAAAAAGACAACTCTGGCAATTATTTCTCTGGTTGATAAGGTGCTAGATTGTTATGAAAAAAGGACTTTGCTGCAATCACTTTCTGTGATCTAAGTTAAGCCCTCGATCGAGCTTCACATACAGTACTGTTAGAAATATTAAAGCACTACAATATCAAAGGTGTGGCTTTAGATTTTTTAGGTCTTTTCTGCAAAATAGACCTCAGCATTAGGGAATAATGTGTCACGATGTAAACCTGTAACCTGCAGAGTCCATCAAGGCTCTGTACTTGGGCCATTATTGTTCTTGATAGTGGTTAATGACTTTTTAAATGTCCTTACAGATATTGCTTATATGCAGACGACACCACGGTAATCACCAGGAGTACAGACTTTTGTCAACTCTTAGAAAACTGTGAGTTGGATTAAAATGGTGTTGAGAACTGGCTCACAGAAAATAATATAGTTTTATATAAAGATAAAACATTAACTGTAGTATTTAGTCATAGAGAGATTACTGAGATGCCAAATGAAAATGCCAAAGTTTGGGACTAACTTTTGATTCTACTCTAAATTGGCAAAATCATGTTCATTTGGTGAAGGCAAGACTTAGTTCTAGTGTATTTCCTATGAAATGTTTGTGTGGTGAATTGAATCAGAATACTTTAATACAGGCTTATTATGGACTATTTCATAGCCATTTAAGGTATGGTTTGATTGTTTGGGGATCTTCTCCTCATGCAAATGAAGTTTTTATTACAATATGTTGCCATTAGGTATAAGACTGCTTAGCGATAAGGATTTTAAAATTAAATTAAATGATTTTCTATGTAAAGGATCCTTTTATTCTGTAGAAGAGTATATGTCAAGACAATGGACTGTTAAGGATTTCTGTTGAATATCATTTATTAAATTGACGTGACAATGTATTTGAATGAAATATTTGTGACGTAATTTTCCTGAAGACGAAACGTGGGAAATTACGCCACCTGTACGATAAACGAAGTCCCAGGAATCGCACGAGTCGGGTTGCAGGGATTTTCCCAGGAGTCGATCGATAGTGATTAGGATAGCCTTCTGTGAGGTAGGGTAAGCCTATGTAAATTATTGCAACACTGTTTGTGCGCGGTGTATTAGTTATGTATTAGTGAGTAATAATGAGTTTTGTATTAGTGACACTTTTTTGTCGTTTGGATCATCTATTGGTGAGTGGTGTAATAATACGCTGCTTGCGTTATTCAAATTTACTTCGCCTGTTTCAGTTATTCGATAAACTTAGCCAAATTTTGCGGGCTAGGCCTGACTCTCAGACCTAGTCATACGATACTTTTAACCAACCAATTTAGCAAAGCATTGTAGTTGGTGATTTAATCTTCTAAATTAACGCCTTGAAATTTATATTTGGACTTTCTCTTAAATTTTAAATCTGTTCTAAAGTTCCCCTAAGTTTGTCCCAGCAGACAGGTTTCTGCTAGACTAGTTTTGCAGAAGTTTGCTTAAGTTGACCACTTGAGTAAGTACAAGTTTTAGTTTTGTTTTAAGCTCAAGGAGCAGTTTTATTTTTCGTTTCCGTTTTTCTCGATTTGTTTCTCACCAGGAAAACTTAAGCCAGCTTGTGTTTTTTTTTTTTTTTTTGTAAATCCAGACTCTGTGGGACTTAGGCTAGGCTAGGCCTATCTTAAGCTAACCTTTGTCTGTTTCAGGTTAACACTTGTACCTTAACTCCGTAGGTAAGCGGGGTGTAACTAATTCTATTTATAGGGAATAAATGTGATATTTTTAAGGAGACATTTCAGTGTAAATCCAATCAGGCAAATGGAAATTCACTTAGTCAGCAGGTTTGCTGCGGCTGGGGTATTTTCTATTGCTTAGGTACAGTAGTAGAACATTATGGCTATGGTAGATGTTTTATGCTATAGCATACCATAAATTTAATGAACCAAATTCCCTCAAACGGTGTCCTTACCCATTGCAAACGCAGAGCATGAGTATAACTGCAATAATATATACTTATACGCCAACCCCATACAAAGGATGGGTACTCTGCTAGTTGCGAATAAATCTGAAATTTTTTAAGAGATATTTTAGGGAAATTTAAATCATGCATATGGAAATTCACCTAGTCTGCAAGTTTGTTGTAACATGGCCATGGGTATTATTGTTTTTATTCACCTCACCATCCACTGTGCTGCTATTCTTAGGCTTATCCACATGACTTTAAGTTTACTTTTATGATAGTACTGACCTTTTCTGCCTCAGTGAGCATGTTTTGTTCCAGGTAGAGGAAAGCTTTACTAGCATAGACAACATGTTTTAAAGCATCTTCTATGCAACTAAAAAGGTTGTCACGATGATTTGACTCGTTATTTAACAAGGACTCTAAACCACAAACTTCTTCAAAGGCCTTAGAAATATTTTTAGCTCGCCAATACTCATAACTGATCACTAAATGGAGTAAAAATCTGAAACAAAACAAAATAAAAGAAAGGATACATACAAACAAAAATAACGAAAGGACCACTTAAAATTTATACTCCATTGTTACATTCCCTTATAAATCATGTACTGTGTCTAATTAGGAATTAAGGAAGTGAATAATTAAGTCTTAATTAAGGAAGTGAATACCTATTTAAATTATTAAACAGTAACACAAATGTTTTAGTACTCTTGTCCAATACAATACTAACCCATTGCTTTAATATTTGTCCCTAAGCCAATTTTTTTAGGTGATGCCGTTTTATGTCTTCTATTGCACTTGTAGTTCAACACGTATGTCCAAATTTAACCAAAAAAAGAAAAATCCCAGTACTCTTCCTCTTTACTAATGTGAAGGAAACAAAACTAAAACTACCACTTAAGCCAGACACAGTTGATTTACATCTCGCACTATCGCAGAGAGTTCTGTGATAGTTTCTTGCAACCGTAGCCACATTGGTGATCATATCTTTTGATCGCTTTCTGGTAGGGATGGATGAGATTGAATTTTTAGTTTGAGACGAGACGAGATTTTTTTTTCTCATTTCAAAAAATCAAATACTGTAAATTGGCTGTTAGTCTACTATAGTTCGGCCGCTTAGAAAACGACCTGCGCGCTAATGCTAGAGGAGGTCGCTTTCTAAGCGGCCGAACTATAGTACAGGCGCTAGGTGCAGTTGAGTATGCATAAAAAGAGTCAGAGATTTTGACTTTTGATTTTGGAAATGGGGACCTAGGTGAGTGTAAAAACCCATGTCGTCGCCTCCAGGGGTGGTCGACAACATAGGGGTGGGGGCGCAAAGTTGCGAAAAACGTTAATCAGAAAACCACTTTTAACTCCCTTGTTATTGAACGTAAGTAAAAGACTCATTTAAATTGACTTTTGATTTTAGTAATAGGGGCCTAGGTAAGTGTAAAAACCCATGTCATCGCCTCCAGGGGTGGTCGACATAGACATAGACATTGACAATAGACTTTATTTGCACAAAACATTCCATACATGTCATAACATTTAGAATAGGTGCATTGTCAAAATTAAATCCATACATAAAATATTTAACATTAAAACTTTTAACTTAAAATTAAACACTTAAAAAAAAAAAAAAATTTTTAATTGTAGTTCTGTACAAATCTTCAATTAAGTAAAAAGCCTTGTCAATAAGAAAATTATCTATTGTATCTTTAAATTTGGTTTTGCTTAGTGACTTATAGCATGGCGGAAGCACATTGTACAATCTCAGCCCAGCGTACAATGGAGATTTTTCATATAGGGTCAAACGGTGTCTGGGGAGTCTAAATATATTTTCATTTCGGGTTTCATACCTGTGATTAAAATGTATTGTTTCGGGTAGCTCATTTTTAACTGAATGTATGTAATTTAATAATTCTAGAATATACAACCCTGTTAATGTATGAATTCTTAAATTTTGAAAATGTTTCTTACAAGAACTGCGTGGATGAGAGTTGGTAATAATACGAATAATACGTTTTTGTAACCTGAATAAAGTTTTAATACCAGTAGCTTGACCCCATAAAATTATGCCATATCTTAACACTGACTCCACATAAGCATGATAAACTACTTTAAGTGTCTCAATAGAAACACAGTCCCTTAAATGTATGAATAAAGATGATATCGACCTAATTTTGTTACGTAAATAATTCAAATGTGAATCCCATTTAACTGCGTCATCTACGTAAACCCCTAAGAATTTATGAGCTTCAACTAAATTAAAGGAACAGTTTTCCATATTTTTGTGTCTAGTAGAAAATTTAATAATATTTGTTTTTTCAACATTAAGTTTTAACCCATTTTCTAAAAACCATTGCTCCATGTCCTTTACCACACTTTGCAGAGAAGAAAACATTTCAGCTGTATTATTATTTTTGATCAAAGCAGTAGTGTCATCGGCAAAAAGAATTAGTTCTTTATTAATAGCTTTTGGAAGATCATTAATGTAAATAAGAAAAAAAAGTGGGCCCAATACTGAGCCTTGGGGAACACCTGTGGATATAATTTCCCATGGTGAATAATGTTTTTTGTTATCTTCTAAAATTAAAGTTCTTTGTTTTCTTTCAGAAAGGTAAGATTGTATTAAAGAAAAGCAACTTCCCCCAATCCCATAATCAATAAGTTTTAGCAACAGGAGTGAGTGATCCACACAATCAAAAGCCTTAGACAGGTCACAGAAAACACCTGCTGTGGCCTGAGACCTGTCCAAGGCCTCTGCAATCTCATTAACAAACTGAGTAAGAGCAGAAACTGTGCTTAAGTTTTTTCTGAAACCAAATTGTTTATTGTAAAATAAATTATTACTTTCAAAATAATTAACTAGTCTATAGCTTATTACTTTTTCAAATATTTTAGAAAAATTACTTAATACTGATACTGGACGGTAGTTATTAATATCTGATTTTGAACCTTTCTTAAAAACGGGAGAAATTTGGGAGTACTTGAGTTGATCCGAAAAAATACCATTCTCTAAACACTGATTTATAATAAGAGATAAGGGTTCGGAGATAATGTCAGCAGCAGATTTGATCAATTTAATTGGGATTTCGTCCCAGCCTACTGAAATTTTGTTCTTTAGAGAAAGGATGATCTTTTTTATTTCATCTTTATTAGTGGGGCTAAGATTGAACAATGTAACCCCACCATCACTGCAGTATGATTTTACAGACGAATGAACACCATTGACAGAAGCCTTTTTTACATTCAGATTAATAACTTTACAGAAAAAACTGTTAAAAAGCTTAGCTACATCATCAGGATTATTAACAGTGGTTTGGTTTGTATCATCTTTTAAAATAATTTTGTATCTTTGAGGACGGTTTAAACCCAGTTCATTGTTAACAATTTGCCAAGCTGCCTTAGACTTGTTTTCAGATTTTCTAATTAGGTTATTATTTGAGAGAATTTTTGAATTTTTTACAACTTTATTAAATATTTTTTTGTATTGCTTTACATAGGATAAAAACTCTTGGTTTCTACTAAACTTGGCTTCCAAGTGCAATTCTCGTTTCCTCTTACTGGAAATTCTTATACCTTGGGTCACCCAATTCAGAGTAGATTTATTAGTTTTAGCATTCTTTTTTAGTGATTTAACAGGAAATATATGATTGAAAGATAATAAACAATTTCTCAAAAAACTATTGTAATTTTCATTGGGGTTTAAAGTGGGGTTAAATACAAAATTATTATTAGTGCTCTGTAGATATTTGCAAAATTCATCTGTATTTCTATCAGAGATGATTCTTTTCTTAAAAGAACTAGAAGTATTCTTGATGGTTTTACACTTGGCTAGCATAGGGAGGTTTATAAATATAGCATTGTGATCAGAAAGACCTAACTCAGTGTTTAACCTGTAATGGCAACTAAACGTTTTGGGTGTGATAAAATTATCCAAACAAGTAAATGAAGTATTTGTTATTCTAGTTGGCTCCTCAAATTGAAAACAAAAACCATTACATTCGACAATTTCTTTAAATCTACTTGTGAATGTGTCATTCGTTAAAATGTCTATGTTAAAATCTCCAGTTACAAAAACAGTATTTTTTTTTTAATTTTTTCTGTATTATCAAAAATAGAATTTCAAGTCTATCTAAAAACTGTTTACTTATGTTGAAATTTGGTACTGTATAAATAGAAATCAAAATTGAATTAAAATCCACAAGTTCAATAGCAGAACATTCAAAAATAAAGTCTTCATTTAAATTGGAAAACTGTGTTATTGTTACATATTTACAGTTCTTATCCACTAATATGCAAGATCCGCCCCTACAGCCACTTCCTCTTATATAAGAACTTGTGAGGTGTTTATGTCGGGTAGGGCACCTATCGTAAACTTACCTCCGATTTGCTCGGACAGCTCGGGAGTAGTCCAGGGTTCTAGCTGAGTCTCCGTCGCTTGCTAACCGCCTCTCGATCTTCGTAGACGTTTTCTTCGTCGTCCTACATGCACCCGATACTATGGTTGCATGTAAGCACAACGACGCACTGACCAGGAATATATCGGCACTAAATACGATGCTGCTATGAGAATTAAAATACGTGACCAGCTTCTAGTCTAACAAAAGGTATCGCTTCTCGAATAAAAACTAAAAATCAATCTCTCGTAGTAAAATAAAAGGTCGACCCGCGCAATAACAAAATAACGAAATGAAAAGAGTCAGCGCTAATATGCCAATGAACTTCTTGGCTTCGAAATATAACTAAATGAAATACTTTTAGGTAAAATAAAATAAAATAACTTCCGATAAATAAACTAAAAAGTGTAGGCTACTGTGGCACCGCACACGCAGTGCCGGCCCGAGAAATACAATACGCTAATCACTTACAACTAAGATGATAGTAAATGTTAACTTTTACTCGCCAAAGTAAAACGGGGAAAATAGGATTATTATTAACGTAATGATATCCCACAGTACTTACGTCTGACGATACTTCTCTCGATTTATTATTTTTTCGCTTTTATGTTGTCTCGCACGTTGCGAATCGAATCGACGATCTTTGCTCGCAGGTCCGCTGCACGCTCTTGAGGAAGGGTGTTTAGCGAACAAGCGCTCGCCGTAGACTGACTCAAGAAATGTCCACTGTCCGGCGTCTCGGCTGCTCCCCACCACGTCTATGTCAGCGCCCCGAAGTCGCGGCGGCCAAGGCACGAACTAGGCGACTTGACTTGCAGCGGACATGTTGGGCATTGTTGTCGAGCGCGCTCAAACCTTCGCGGCCTTAAAATAATTAAAACTAACCCCCCCAATAATAATAATAATAATCTTTATTGTCATTCAGCAACATAAAATTGCAATAGACAACGTCAGAAGTCAGGACACAAATGTGACATCATGCTTAAATCTACATCATCCTATGAAACATTGAACATTTTGTTGCATAAACTGTACATACAGGCCTAAATATTTAAATTTAAAATTCTAAGATTGAATGCTTTACACAAATTTATACAAAACTTAAGTAAATAATGCTTCA